ACGAACGTAAACAATAATCATGTCTGATGGCTGACCGTAGCCTTGCACGTTTTGGCTAGATGGGTTCGCGGCCCCACTGTTTCGGACAGGCGGTGCGAGTTTAGCGCTGGGGACCAGTCTACTTCCTGGCTAGCATTGGTTTATAATTTTATGACGTAATGGTGATGTCACGTGCCGATGGAAACTGCTGTGATTGGCCATTTGTAAAGTGTCGCTGGGAAATAGAAACGTTTCTAAATATTTTTGTCGTCGAGGTTGTCGCCGGTCGTCGTCGCGTCAGTGTGCAATGGCTCATAGGAAACAATAGTTTCTAATTTTCTGAAAAGTCGTTTGTCGTTACGGTCGGTCGTTGTCGCTGCAGTGTGGCTTGACCTTAACTCGTGAGATGTTTCACACGCCCCTACTCTAATATCTCGCGAACGATTTGAGTTACATTTCTAAAATTCTAGATACATAATATGATATAAACACATGTTTTAGACTTAGCTATGATTTCTGTGAATTTTGAGTTTATTGAAGCACGAATAGTTTAATTAATTACCAGAAATATACGTACGCGCGGTATCATCTCGCGTCAGGTGCACTTCACACCTGGTTACCACGCCAGCCGGCGTCGTGTGAAATACTGGTTGAACAACTGACTTGTAGCCAGTTCCTGGATATGCTAATTGATTGCAAACGAGATCCTGTCTGCGTATTGTTGTTGTTAAACAGATTTGTGTTCGGTGACTAATCGCGGCGCGTGCCTACCTCGTGATAGGCCTACTGATACTGATACTGATAGTTATTCACTAACTGTATCACTAATTGTTTCAGGAAAAACGAGTCAGGCATTTGCGACCCTTTCGTTCCTGTTTGTGTGCGTGGTTATCGGTCTGCCACTATGGTGGATAACAACGACGGTGTATCGAGCAAGGCTCCCTTTCGAAGACATCGCAACACTCTCCCAGAGCGAAGTATGGTCGAGTATGAGACATGTTTTCCATCACCTAGCTGTAATGTAAAAAACCGTATATCAGAATATTGATAACGTATTTTGTTGATATGTGAGGCATAACCACATATTGTATCACCGTTAACAGTGGCTTTGTATAGCAAGTTGGTTTGGAACTTATTACCACAACCAGGATTGTGTTTTTCAGCTACGTTACACCACAGAATTCACAGTCATAGCGAGTAGTGAGGAGGTAAAGGATGACGACCTGGTGGAATTCAAGAGACGGCTGGGAGCAACTCTGGAATGTAAGCATGTCCACAGCTGCTACTACAGCAGGAAGCTTCTCTAAGCAGACCTACGTATTCCTTTTCCTTCCGATCATATCTGAAATTAGATAGATTGTGTGATTTGTTTCGGCATCCAAAATTTTATGCAACTGATGTGAAATTTCCAGTTGATGACCTGTTGCATGGTAAATAGCTGAGCTGTCTCCTTGGTGTGTATGTGTGACTTTACTTTACATGTTTCAGTGAGTTCACAGACGTCTTCTCACTCACTGAGTTTTCAGTATAAGGTG